TGTTCATCTCAAGGATCATATTCCTGAAGCTTCAGGATCGCCTTTTTGTACGTTCTTGGTTGATTATTTGGTCCCGCCTTCCTGTGTTTCTTCGAATCATATCTGCTTCACCCGCCATCTCTTCTATATGCACATTGCATTCCTCCAGGACCCTGAGCTCGAGCTTGACAACAAGTGCCCTTTTCACCAGAGGATGCGCCCGCACACCCGGAGCGCGCGATCCACACTGTTTTTCAGTACAGATCGAACTTTGAGTTGGATCATTATATCGTGCACTATGCGCATAAGTGGCTTTCATTCTTTTTTGATTGTTATGAGAGTCAAAGTTCGTGCTTTCACGATGGTTATTTATGATATCAATACTTCCTCTCGACTCCCTTTCCATCCAGTACGCTTCCTTATTGACTCTTTTGCTTCCCTCGTAGACTTTGAGTGCAAAAGACTATTAGCCCGATCAGGCGACAAGGATGGCTCGAGGACGTAGTTTGATCTTGTGATGCCAGAAAAGTCGCTCGAGGTGAATGCTGTGGGACGAAAGGTACGTTGACACCTATACCCTGCTTTATTCGTCAGATACTGGTCAGATTATAGCCGCGATTTCGAAGATCTATACATGCCAGTCTTGACGCTATCGAAGTACTGACACTGGGTGAAGTGCCAGTCAAGAGCCCTCCCGGCGATATAAGGAGGTAATTAGTCACCCCGGGAACAAGAACGGTCATCATACTAGCTTAACTGACTGACTTTTGCACAATACGCTGATCCAAGCCGATGGCTTATGTCTGCGTTCGGTGAAGGATTGCAGTGCTCGCACGTGAACCCGATGTCAAGTACTGTCCCCAGCAAATATGAAACATCTAATGCAAGGCACGAGAATGTCTTCGCTGGGCTAGGGTCGCTAACGTTTGGCAGACATTTGAATTAGGAGGCTTTGCATCAGCATGACGATCGGTATATTGCCATTGTCATTGTCTGTTGTTTGAGTTAAGCAGACGTAAGAAGGACGATGGGAGTAACCCATCAATTCCAGCCTGGAGGCAAGGGGCTGAATCATCACATCTGCAAACACCTGTCCATCTCTTCAAGGTCGCCGCCGGTCGTCGAGGATATGGCAACATGGTTGCAGCAGGGTTGAGCGCGATACTCAACTCAACTTGCCCGATGGCTTCACTTTGGTGCCGGCGGCTTCCCTATACAAGGTGAGATCACAGTGCGGTGCACCTTGCACATACCTATTTCAAAGATATGTTCTTGATTGGTGGTTGGATAATTGAGGACGTGGGATGCTTGCAAAGAAACGGGACCAACTTGCCCAGACATGCTTTGCGAGAAAGCACGGCAGATGGCGTGATGGACATCTCAGAGGTATTTTCCGAGAACGGCCAGTGAAGAAACAGAGGCATGTGGGTTGGCTCGATTAGGAGGACTACCAAACGTGATGCTGATGTGTCGATTAAGAAACTGCGGATATATTGTGAGAAAACAAAGACTTGGGCGCTTGATCTGCACAGCAAGCTGTGAAGCGAACACGAGGATGAAGACGCACCTGCGCAGGACTTGAACATCAACCTCCCTCTAGCTCTACCGAGCATTGAACAAAATGTTCGCTCCTCTTCAGCTCTCATTTGTTCTGCACCCGTTTGCTCTGTATACAAATCAAGTATTTCTGAGTGAGTAATGGCGTTCGTTTGGTGAGCAAGAGCTGAGATTGTCCCGCAAGAGAAATCAGCGACAAAGCCTCCCAAAAAGATGCAGAGTCTTAGATAGACTCGAAGCGAGAGCAGTTGAATTTGTGATGATCTAAGCTATGGCGCAAATTCAGAAAGGAGGAAATCTGGGCACATGGAGAAGGCACTGCCGCTCCGCGCGGAGAAGCGAGGAAGGGGAAGAGTCTTCTTCAGTAGCGCATAGACCCTCGGATAAGGATGTCGCTTGGCAGCTTCCTGAAGTCCAGTAGGCAGTCGAAAGTTGACGCTGTCTTCTTCATGCTATGGTGAGACATGGCCTGAGCTAATGCTGCGGAGCACATACCTGATTCGCACGAGAAACAGATGTTCAAGAATCCAAGGAGTGCTGGTGCGTTCCTGCTTGATGATTGAGTCATTGAGGTATCGATACTGGTAAATGGTTGTCAACCGAGAGATGTCTGAAGAGATACGGGAACTGCTTGCTGAGATGATTTGCGAGACACGTGCTATAGAAGACAACGCGATGGAGTCGGATAGACGTCTCCGAGTCTCAGAGATATTTCTTGCTGGCGATGGACATGAGGGCGGGTGAAGAACGATAGAAATGCGGGCTCGCTTGATAACAGGACTGCCAGATGTGATGCTGAGATGTCGATATCGATGAAGAAAGTGGTTGTCAGACAACGTGACTCTTGCGCTTGATCGGCACAGCAAGCTGCAAGAGGATAAAGCAAGAAAGACGCACATGTACAGGACTTGAACAGCAACCTCCCTCTAGCTCTAGCGAGGATCAAACAATAAATCCATTCCTTTTGAGCTTTCATTCGTCCTGGGCGGGTGTGTTCTGTGTAAAACCAAGTACCTCTGAGTGATTGATGGCGTTCGTTTGGTGGGCAAGAGCTGAAATTGTCCCGCTCCTATTAGGTGAAGTCCAAAATCATGTCTTCACGAGGCCCTGCAAAGCAAGAAAGATCAGCGAGAAAGCCTCTCAAAAAGATGCAAGGACACACCAGCTTGGTTTCTGGCGTCCTACGGCTGCCCGATAACCGGCGGATTATCACCTGTTCATTCGACGACACACTTCGAGTCTGGGACTTGGAGAGCGGTATGCAGGTCGGGAAGGCCTGGATGGACGAAGGAAGTGGACTTGTGATTACCATAGCACTTTCGCCAGACGGCAAGACAGTAGCAAGTGGGAGTGGGGACGGTACAGTGAGATTGTGGGAAATTGACACAGGCAAGGTCATCAAAAAATTGACGGGGCACACAAAGCAAGTGTGGTCTGTGTGCTGGAGTCCAGATGGAGGGCGAGTGGTGAGCGGGTGTAAAGGTGGGACATTCAGAGTATGGGACGTCGAGAGCGGAAAGATAATCCTGGGACCAATCGAGGGAGTGAAAAACGACTGGGCGTGCAAGGTTTACTACTCACCCGATGGTACGATGATTGCGACGGGCGGGGACAAGCTGAGAGTCTGGGATGCCAACACAGGCCAATTGCTCAAAACACTCCACTTCGCAGTTTTCTGTCTGGCATGGATCTCGGACGGAAAGACACTTATCGTCGGGTCATACCGCGATAGTTGCTATCAAATCAGGAAATTTAACACCGCCACCTGGACCGAAACCGCTGTTCTGGAGGGACACGGTCATGTCCGGGATATTTCACTGTCTCCAAATGAACGCATCCTCGCAAGCGTATCACATGACCAGACAGCGCAACTATGGGACCTAGAAACCAATCAGCCCATCGGACAACCCTTCTACCATGAAGACTGGGTGAACTGTGCAACCTTTTCTGTGGATGGAAGGTTGCTCATCACCGGCTGCTACACCAAGGACATATACAAATGGGATGTCTCTGTTATTGTCAAGGAAGCTGGCCTCGGTCATCTTCTATCAGACAATGTAAGCTTGTGTGCATTTCATCCTCAATCACACTGACAATGGGTCATCCTTTCAGGTGGTATGTCGCATCAGGTCTCTTCAACAGCCTTTCTCACTCATCTTCATTCATCGCAGAATACAGTCAAAAAGCCATTTAACATTAATGTATGCTATGTGCCTCTTGACCTTTTTCATGACCTTGAATATCTACATACTAGGCTGATGCTGCACGGCCACGACCTTCGCAAATCGACAGTGCTCGTCCGAGTCGACTACCCCCCGGATTTTTTAATGATGCACGTGATCTCCCTCTGTAATCTCACGTCCCCTTTGACCATTATCTTATTAGTTCTCTACCTCCCGAGGACGAAATGCCACCACCACACCAAATCAACACACACTCCTCGGTCGCTTACCTTCCCTCTGGCGCCGGCGCTCCAATTCACGCGGAGCAACTGAACACGACACCCCGTCCAGATCCCACCCTCATAGCTGGGCTAAAAACATCATGTCCAGCAGACAACACAGACAAGATGGATCAAACATCCAGTTGCGAGAGCTACCGGTAGTTGACGTCCCGTGCACCGCTGGGAAGCGTGTACGCTTTTTCCCACCTCTATTCTTCTTATCACTGACACATTTTCACGCAGAGGGACTATCATGCAAGAGGGAAGAAAGCAGCCAGCTCCTCTCGACCTTCCAAGATCCATGTCATGCAGAAACCTACTGGCGGAGCAACCCAGAGCACACCCCCACCATCCTCATCACAGCAAGCCACGACAACAGCTGCAATTCCTACGGTCTCCACTACTGCGGCAGCGACTGGAACCTCACACGTTGATATCACCATACGCGGGGCTGGATGCTGGACGCAGTTCTGGCTCTGGATTGGTTGTATCTCTGTCGAAAATAATCAACTATAGGGCAGAAACATCTTCGTGTACCATTGTCATTTTCTTTCGTCTCATCTATAGCGATCTATAGCTCTTCTACCCTCCACCATTGTATTGTATTCCCTACTTACTCTGCTACGCTTGTCGTTCCTTTTCTATTGCCTTATGTCGGTCGAACTCGGTTCCACTTCGTACTTGTAGAAGCTGATGGCTTAGGCTCTTTGTAGAGGAATGGTACTCCTCACAGTATTGTGCCGCTGTTCTTTGTCATGTAGTAAGCTGACACTCTCTCATTCAGTCAGTAATAGGACTCAATAGTACACTTGAGATGGTTATTATGATACTACGCTTCATTGATAGAGCCCCAGAAGTGTTTCATTACACAGATAAGTATGCAGAGATAGGGTCCCTCAATGAGGACAAACTCATAATGTTTACTCCACTTGCTTCTCTTGGATCCCAGAATCCCCCCAGTGGTCACCAATCCTCATTGATTGTTCCCACCCGCTTCAACATGGCAGAGGAAAGGGGAACTTTACCCCCTGGAGGGGGGTGGGAATTCCGCAACATACTGGCAAATTATCTTGAGAAATGAGTGGCTGAGAAGCAAGAGAAGACTTACATTGAAGATGACACGACCATCCCACACGACCTTGCCGGTCTCTGGCTTCACCCAGGTGGTCACAAACTTCCAACCCTGGGTCCCATCCTCCTCAATGTGGCAGAGGAGGCAGGTGACTTTACTGCCCTTGGGAGGGATTGGGAAACCTGTAGAGTACTGGTGAATAATATTGAAAAGAGGGGAGTTCAGAGATAAAATAGGACTTGCCTTGAGGATAGGATGGTTGTCCCAAACCACCTCCATACGTTCTTTCTCATACCTGAACACCTGCAGGAGAGAGAACTGATCAGTGTGATATCGAAGATCAGAGGGAAACAGCCTACATTTTCTGGTTGTGGCTGGTTTAAGGAGAGTATTGGGACCTGCAAGTAAAGTCTATCAGACCGGATCCACGAACAAGATAAAAAACCTGACATTCCAAAGGTTGCAATTGTTGCAGGTGGGCTGTCCACGGTTCATCATGACTTTTCTGCCCTGCACATGCAGAAATGTGAATTGACACAGATGCAAAACAGGAAGAGCATACCTGTGGGACTTGAATGACTTCCTCACATTCAAAGCATACTTGGTTGTTTCCTTTCATCTTAAAGACAAAATATCTTGGAGATGATGATGACTTGATAATTCCAACGGCTTGAAAGTTTGAGTGATGAGAGAAGAAACATGGTGGCTGATATATGAGATGAAAAGGTACAAGTGTAGTGAGGAGATGTGGAAGGTAGGAGCATGAAGGCCTAACCATGGGTGGAAGAATGACAAGAGTGAGGGTGACAAGTGTAAGTCCAAGCAAAAACAATGTGTCATAGAACGTGCCAGAGATGTGGCTGCATTTGAGATGATCAGGTGTGGAACTCCCTACAACAACATAACTGAGACATAACGCAAGAGAAGGTGGAAATAATGCTCACCTGTATTTCTGCTCCACAGTACTTACTTTCTGTGTAGCAGACAAACATTTCCATGTGGCAGGTGGGTTAGGGTAACCAATGAAACATGGAGCAAATTGACTCGTCGAGCTCAATACTGCAGCTCTTTGTTGATACAGCAGCTATCTGAGAATACTACTTGCCTTTTTGCAAGTTCTTTAGTTTCTTGTATCACGGTAGCACAAAATGGTGTACTTGACAAAGTTAGTACCCCTCCTCTTTGACAGAGGCCTGGAAGTGCCTCATTATGCCAAACCAACTTTATTTATTATAGCCATATGAAACAGATTAGGTTGTTGTTCGTCACAAACATATTGATGCTGCTTTCCTCCTCACTCAACTATAAGTATTTCTTGACAAAGACAATGGAATATGACCACTTGCATGGATGATCATGATGTTGCACTGATGATATCCTGCTGCCTGCAAGAGATCCCTCAACCAATTTCAAGATAATGCATGTATCCAGCACTTATGAATTTTGAAGACAGAATAATAGATATCCAAGACATTTTTAGTTTAAGTGATAGCAGCCAAGCTTTTGATGGAAGTTTCAATGACTGGTTCAGAGTCTTCCTTGTATGGTTTGCTCTCCCAACTCTAGTGCAAATGTGTTCCTAAATCTGATATTGTTGTTCTCATTGTCATTGTCGTTGTTGTTGCTAACATTGACCTTGTTGAGTTACTCATGTGTTCATATCTGTTAAACAGGTTTCAGATTACCTGCGCCCTGATAGACACCCATACAGCAAGTGTAACTTCACCCACACCACCATGTCTACCGGCTTGGATGCATGAAAGCGAACATTTTTATGAGCAGAACGACTGTCATATCCTGTACCTCCAGACCTGGAATTCTGGATGCTCCCCTATGAAAGTTCCAGTTCTTCATCCTATTCTCCGCCCGGTGCTTCGCTTTCATCTCTGGACTCACTCCTATCTCATTTTAGAATTCTGCTTTTCAGCTACCGGTTATGTCTTTCTGCTTTGCTTACTGATCTGTCTGTTTGTACTTCATTTCCGACTTCACTGCTTTGATCTGTTATACTCTTACTAATAGACTTTCCATATGCTTTGGACATAGCCTTTACTTTGCTAACTGATTTACTTACATGATACTGTTAAGGTTGTGCTTAAGGGAAAGGTAACTCAAAGGGCTTTGGCTTCAGCTTGTGCGCTGCACCCCTTACCTGAGTACATGCCCTTAATTTCTGAGAGGCAGAGGGGAAGTCCAACGGAAGTCCAGGTAAGTCCGGAGTAGAAGCGGAACAGAGTTAGACTACCCTAAGGTAGAGCCAGAGATATAGTCCTAAGGATTAATCCCTAAGACTCGGAGGTGGACAAGAGATCAGACTCAAGTCCAGAGAAGCAGGAATGAGCAGAACTAAGATGATATTTGAACTGAGGAGGTACTGGAGCATTACAGGAGTTTATATACTGTAGGTATCATGTGAGTAAATCAGTTAGCAAAGTAAAAGCTATGGCCGAAGCATGTGGAAAGTCTATTAGTAAGAGTATAATGGATCAAAGGAGTGAAGTCAGAAATGAAGTACGAATGGACAGGTCAGTAAGCAAAGTGGTGTGGGTACAACAAGTGCGGCAGAGGGAAATCGATCTACTACAAAGTTGGGTCTTTGCTGCCTGCTGCCTCACTTGAGAACAAGCACGTTCGACCCTAAAGGGGATTGCTACTGGGGAGTGCTAATCTCTGTCTAAGCGACCCTAATCAACCCTACTGCAGGTAGGATGAGGATCTGCAAAAATGCAGAACAAGAGGAACAAGTGGAACTCGTGTGGAACAAGCGGAACCCGAGCGGAACTCAAGCAGAATGGAAAGGAATGAAACGGAACTCAAACGGATAAAGCGCGGAACGTACTGATTCGTTGGAACTCGCAGGTGAAGTCGAAGGAAGTATATCACGAGGTTAGATTGATAGTGGGCATAAGTCAAAGTGGTCCTCTAGTAAGGTGAAGGGAAAGTGGGAAGGTAAAAGATGGGATTCGATAAAAATACCCCCAAGCCCTGAGTACCACTACTTAAAGGGAAGATTATTTTCAAGGTACACTGAGGTGCAGGTACTAAGTTCTCAGGAAGCGGAAGTGAAGGCAGGCAGTGCACATGGGCGCAATACTCCGGAATAGGGGTCCGTGCCATAAGGGCATGTGTCAGTGTGATCCGGATAACATTAGGAACAATGGGAAGAGAGATACAGCGTACCAATGGACCTGGAAGGATGGGGACAGAACATGCGAAGGTTGTCCAATGATGCACGGGAATATCGGATAGTGCGGGCGGGTTCTGAAGGATGTGTGGGAATGCGGAACCCATCGGATGATGCGCGGGAAACGCGGAATGTGCGGAATATGTGGAACTGATGTGAGACGATGCGGAAAGGACGGGGTTTTACACCTACAGTGGGGGAATTCCCCACAGCGGAAAGGTATACATCTGGTAGCCAGAAAGCAATTATTCTAACAGGAGATAGGTGTGAGTCTGGAGATGAAAGCGGAGCGCCAGGTGGACAATAGGATGGAAACCTGGACTTTCATAGGGGAGAATCCGGACTTCTGGATCTGGAGGTATGGGAAATAGTGCCGGAGAAAATAGGGGTAGTGTCAGAGGAGCAGAATAGAGTTAGGTGGAGGTAGCAGGGCTAGTCCTGCTGAGATGCACTTTGTGCATTATCAGAGAAGGAGGGATGGAATGGACAGGGAAACAGGGGGTTGGACTAGCGGTAGGGACGACCCACAAAAGTATTTCTGTTTTCATCACTCCCACTCCTGAGGCTGAGATTAGAGCAGGCAATGATTGTACTTTGCAACTGGATACGGGCTCATTCAATGTGTGAAGGGTCTCATGTCCTTCGAGGATAAGGTCCATCAACACCCATATATTCTGATTTGTCCCTGATTTAATTTACTCCTTGTTGTTCAGGATCTGCTGGCTGCTATCAACCACACCAAGCATGGTACAACATCGCTTCAGCACACCACAAATGCCCTGCCAGTTTTGCAGGTCATCTTGCAGGGTACATTGTTCCCTCCCTCAGCACAAGTGGGACAGAATGGATTGCTGGTATGATGCCTGTAGAACAACATGCAGAAGTCGTGTATGCAGAGAGTCTTTATCAGAAGGTGGGTGGTTGGTTTCTACTGGCAATGGGATGTGTTTGGGGCGAATGGGACTGATGCTGTTTCAGAGTCTTCTTGGTATTGTTTATTCCAGCAACTGGCTTGTGTTCATCAGAGAGGTGTATGTGCTCCATTCTTCCTTCCACTTCTCTTACTAACACATACCACTGTCCCACCCAGACTCAACATGTGCACCACAATCTCTATCTACTGTCAGCTCAGAAAATGGATTGAGACTGTTGACGCCACATATGCCACTGCACACCCAGAGCTACTTGCTGCCATCTCACCACCCAACTCGACACCAGCAGGCTCAGAGACAGACACTGAGGACAGACACTCACAGTCAAGTGCCACAAGCTTTGCAAGTGCCAACTCTTCCTTTGCCACCCCTTCCATGTCCAGTTTCCCCAATCACACCTCTACACAACAACTCACCACCGACCCTCCATCCACCCCATCTCCCTCACATCCATATCTCCCTGACCCATCCATAGATATGCATTTCCGCACTGGAGTATACCTTGGCCTTGGCATGTTGCACCTTGTGCTAAGCATGATGCCTGGGAAGTTGCTAGTGCTGGTTGATTTGTTTGGGTATAAAGGCGATAGTAAGCTTGGGCTGGAATTGTTAGAGTGGGCTGGTGGGTGGGGTAATGGGAGTCGTGTGGTGGACAAGGGTGAGTGGTTCGAGTCCATTCTGTTGTCTTCAAGTTGAAAATTCGTGGGCGCTATGCTTACATGTATTCATACAGAAACGGAAGGTGTCCAACACCCAATCTGCGACAAGTCCCTGCTGATCTTCCACCTTGTACTTTCAGCGTTTATGTTTGAGGGTGTGGATGTGTGTAAGGCTGCGAGAGTGCTGGAGTGGAATTTGAAGCGGTATCACAATGGTGTGTGTATGTGTGGTGTTAGCATTATGTGATCTGATGTCTCCTTTGTCCCTTTCCTCTTCTGCTCCTCTTTGCTCTCTTTCCCCTTTTGCTGCCAAATGTCCCTTGACTCCTGATATCCCATGGCTCTCCAAAACCCCCTTCACTCCTCATTCTTCCACCTACAGGCATCTTCTTCCTCTTTGGTGCCAGCAGACTCGCACTCGTCCGTTCACAACCCACCAAAGTGCTTGACTATTATACATGTGCGGCACAGGCTCAGAGCCAGTATTGGAATTTACATCATATTTCGTGGTAGGAGAGTGCAGTAGCGTGTTTGGGGCTTTGGAGGTGAGTGTTTTTTTTTTGGTGTTTTCTATGTGGGGAATGGGATTTGGTTGGTGGTGATGAAGGGAGGGAGGGTGCATGCACTGATGGTGAATGCTGTGTGTTGGAGTGTCAGATGTGACATGGAGCTCGGTTTTCAAGGATGCAGTGACTGAAGGACTGTTATAGTGGATGCAAAAAATGATGCTTCTAAGCAGTTCTTGCACCACTATGCGAGAGGATGGAATGGAATTTGCGAGAAGGCATTGGGGGAACATGGATCTATAGGAATGATACCCCTCACAATCATGTACCTCCTCCCGCACTGCCGGTGTAGGGAGTATCCCTACGCTAGGCTCGTATCCACTGTTTTTCTGTCCATCTGACGTCCATCCGCATCCTATCCATTCCATCCGATACTCATCTGCTTTTCAGATGACATGCGGATACCTTCGGATCTCCTCCTATAGCTCCCGCATCTGCTGCATCCATCCTGTCCACATCCATTCTACCTCATTGGTACGTACTCACATGCATTTTCCTTGAAAATACTCACTTCATGTAACTTCCTCCCACTTTTCCTGCACCCTACCAGAAGATCGCTTTGACCTATACCCACTATCCATCCAACCTTTAATGTACTTCCTTCAACTTTGATTTGCATCCCGTCCGATCTGCAAGTGCCATCCGCTCCATCTGATGAATCCGTACATTTCGCATCCTATCCGTTTCATCCGCTTTTGTGGATCTTTCATCCTATAGGGTCGCTTTAGACAGAGACTAGTGTTTCCCCAGTAGCAATCCCCTCAAGGGTCGAATGCACTTGTTCCCAAGCGAGGCAGCAGGCAGCAAAGACCCAACTGTGTAGTAGATTGAGTTCTCTCCACTGCACTTGTTGTACCCACACCGGTCATGGGGGTTCTAATAGTATATAAAGCCCTTCATTACATAGATGAGTACATACTAGAGAGATAAGGTCATTCAATGGTGAAGATGAAGGTATGATGCCTACTCCACTTTCTTCCCTAAATCCGCACACGTGGTCACAAACCCCCATTGCTTTGCCCCATATGTGTCGATATGATGGAGGTAATGAGTGACCTTACCCCCTGGAGGGGGAAGCGGGAAATTTGCAGGATACTGGTGAATAATATTGAGAAGAGAGTGGTTGAGAGATAAGATGGGACTTACATCAAGAATGGGTCGACCATCCCACATGACCTCGCTAGTCTCTGATTCCACCCGCATGGACACAAACTTCTATTGGAGTCTATACTGTCATATTCATACATTAAATAGACTGTAATTATCAGTAAATTGCCATACATTAATCATTGTCATTATCACTTACAGGCAAGTAATGTATGAGGATGAGGATCCCTGCAGATCCCTGTTTTGATGACCAGCCGGTCATATATCACTGATGTATTACTCTTGTTACCCCCAAACAGGACACAGCTGGTCATATATTACTGATGTATTACTCTTGTTACCCTCAAAAATAGGACAGGTTATATTTGGTACAGTACATATTACCTTTTTGTACCTGTCACATAGGTCTCTGTAGCTTACTTCAGCTTCCTTCCTGTGCCTTTCATACCTTACACTTTCTGCTTCTTTCAAAGTAGGTAATAGAAGGGATATAGTATGGCTGTCATGCTTGGGCCAAATATATAACTTGAAGTCAATTGACGACTAAGTCCCCCTTGTTTTTTGCCAACTCCAGCCATCACGTGACATTCAATAAATTTTTACCAAGTCCCGCCACCACCGGTTGTTTTCACCAAGTCCAAACGAGGACATGTAGGATATGGCCAGTCTGTGTGAAGTCTGCACAGACTCTGCGCCAAAAGTTTGGGGGACACGTCTAGGATAGTAGGCAACATCTGGACTCTGCCAGCACCTGATCAGGAAATTCTGGGCTGTCAGTACTTCAGTATCAGCCGCCATGTCATCACTGGCTGTCTATGCCTCCTCTAACACCTTCTGTTGTGCGAAACCTCTCGGATGAGATCCAGTGGCGCTAAACCTGCAAGGGGTGTTCAAAGCGTGGCCTTCAGCACTAGCCCAGCAAGGAGCTTGCCTGCACTAAGTCTGAGTAAGGGTTGAGGCCCTTTACTTGTGTAGAGTTGTTTTGGAGTTTCTTAAGGATATGATCCAAAAGATGGAGTTCAACTCAAGAGTATCATCTCAAGAGAAGATGGTTCTTTGTACAGAGGGAGTTCTCTTTAGATAAGAGAAGTTCAGACCCAATGACAAATATCAGATGAGAACTGAGTAGATTCAAGTTAGAGAATCTGTCTACAAGAGAAGTGATATATATATGTAAAGTGAGATACCAGTTGAGTGGTAAGGGTACAGGGTAAGTGGATGTATTACTGAAGCAGCGGTAAGGGTTGAGGGTGTGTGTGAGTCATAGGTAAGAAAGGGTAAGAAGTACCGGTTGAATGGTAAGGGCAAAGGGCATGGGGAATCCCCATCAATGAGAGAACTGATACAGTGGGTAGGGCATAGGGTTCAGAAGAAGCCGTGGCTTCTGTGATCTAGGGGTAGAAGTGAGAGCTTCTCGCATTTCAGAACAACAAGATCAAAAAAAGAAAAGAGATAGAAATAGAATTGTAACCATGGTCTAGGTCTAGATGAGTCTGAAGAATGAAACGATGCACAACATTCATGTTACTGTAACACCTTCAACACTATCTGGCATTCCCTGCAACTGAATCACATGTACTGTACATATATCTTTGCTGCAGTACCACAATAGAAACTAGTGCATCAATCACTCCTCAAGCTCACCTGTTTCCGAGTCATGTGACCGATGCACGATCATTCTGAAGTCTCCTCACCATCCTCGTACTTTTCTAGGATTGTAGTATTGAGTAATGGGCATGTATTGTGACATTCTCTCAATTTAAATTGCCACACTGAGATTGATAGGGCTACAACAACAAGTGACAAGGGAAAATAATGTTAAGAAACGACCAGTCTGATAGATGCATCCGCAGGTATGGCGTGAAGAAGTCAAGAGGCACGTGTATCACAAGATGGGCTCAGAGAGTGGCAGGGACAAGTCAAACACATTGCTTTCTAATGATTGTTATTAATCACAGTACTGATATATCACTTACTTTGCGGGTGCTCCATGGGTAAGAGACTTTGGCCACTTCTTCGATGTTGAATTTTCTTTCCTGATGTTCCCACTCCTGATGGAGTTGGCAACCTCATTGCGGATTGACTCCTTGTGCTCTTGTTTTGATCGTCTGAGCACAAGGGACTCATGTTGTCAAGCTCCTTTTGTCGCAGCAGGTTCTGCTGAAGGTCCCACTGAGAGTTCTACAGGCTGCATAAGATTTGGAGGTGGCTGGACAATAGAAAGTTTAGGCACAAGGTGCATGAGAGGCTGCTCGACAGTAGGAAGTGCAGGCGATGGAGATGCAGGATGGACCAGTTTGATGACAGGAAGTGCAGGTGTCTTGGATGTGATATGTTCCACTGGCACCATGGAAACAGGTGTTGCCATTGGTGTCTTGATGACAGGAGGTGCAGACAACGTAGAAGTAGGATCAACCGACTTGACAATAGAAAGTGCAGGTGTCTCAGATGCAATATGTGCTGCTGGCGCCACGGAAACAGGAGTTATCGCTGGCATCTTGATGACAGGAGGTGCAGATGATGTAGATGTAGAATTGACTGGCTCGACAATAGGAAGTGCAGGCGTCTCAGACACAATATGTTCTGCTGGCGCCATGGAAATGGGAGTTACTACTGGCATCTTGGATGTGAGATCTTTGGTTTCTGGTGTTTTGGACACAAGAGCTATTGCTGACACCACAGAAGTGGGGAGTGGTGCTGGTGTCTCGGATGTGAGAGTTGCTGCTGGTGTCACGGATGGGTGAAGTGAGAGGCTGCTGGTAGGTATGACTGGCTGGTTAAAAGGCAGACCTGGCCAATTTGGACCCAATGGCACATTAAACAAGTCTGTCAACTCCAAACTGGATGAGGGATGTGCTGTGGGAGGTGTGTATCCCTCTGGCATGGGAAGGATGGGTCCATCATGGAACAAGGCAGAATCAAATAACTCCAAGCTGGGCAATTTTGCTGTGGGAGGTGTATATCCCTCTGGCATGGGAAGGATGGGTCCATCATTCTGAAACAACAGTGCCGGACCAGAGATTGCAAGAGTAGAGAAGACGTCATATGGCTGGTCATTGAATGGAAGGAGTGATGTATCACTGGTTGTGATGAAGTCAATCGGTATTAAGGTGGTGTCTTCGAAAGATCGAGGAGTGGGATTAGAGGGTCCTGGACTCAGAGTTCCCTTCCCCACTGCATCAGCTGCATAGAACAATCAATTGTCATGTATTACAAGTTGTGAACTTGGTACTCATGAAAGGCATGCTTTGTGAAATCTGCACATGGCCTCATAATGTGTTCATTAAAATCAGAGTAAGCAAGATTGAATGTGTTTCCCATCGCTGTTCACCCCACATGAAAACTCTCAACCTGAATTTTTCCACCCATTCCTGGAGAAGGCCTGCCCATCAACACAGAAAAGGCCCAGCCTGTCTGTTTTGCCAGTCCAGCAAATATATCAGCTAGAACATTGGGTAATTTTTCGATATTCCTGGAAGATGGTAAGTTCTGCGAGTCAACTCACAATGCATAGATGTGACTTACTCAGTGAAAGAAATGACATTGTCCTCGCTTGAACTCTTCTTGCGGTTTTTGCTCCACTGCTTGACGAAATCGGCTACCTCTGCCTTGATCTCAGGGGTCTCATTTGTGAATAGAGCACGTGTGTGCTTCTTTATGAGAGATAGCCTGAGTGTCTTAGGTAACGCCTGCTTCACATCACCTCCAACAGTGCTAGTGTCGTCATCCTCTTTGTGTGATGTCATCGGACTCAGGCCAACCTCCCGTTTGAGTACCTTCATCTCTGCATCCACAACAGGTTTGATACATGTCTTGTAGTATAACTTGGGGTAAGCCTCAGCAGGCTGTAATGTGTGTGTTCCTTTGAGGCTCAATTGACTTGCCAACATTTTCTCAACAGTACTCGTAGTCTGCGCTTTCAGCTTGCACTTGGCACTGTAATTGCCATACACGTTATGGAAGCAATGCACTAATTGGTAAAGCTCAAACAGTTAGTATTTAAATCCATGCTCATGTTTATCTTTGGCACATACTTTCTTGCATGCTTCCACCATACTCATGTTGACGACTTTTTGTTCTGGTGTGAGATCTATGTCGAGGGGGACATTGGGAAAGAGGTGCACCCTCTCCGGCCATCTGGTGTGATAGTCTTCAAAAAAAGGAGCCCAGAATGGAGTATAATCTTCTACTGCCTGGCACTCGAGGTATTGTTCTCGATACTCCTCCATCATTTTAACTTGCTCAGCGGTGAACTTGGAGCAAGGAGCCATTCTAAAGTGTATTCTTTTTTTAAAAACAATAGATGTGATGAATTTGTCTCATACCTTGGTTATCTATCGACTGTTCATGCAGGACAAAATAAGGGTGAGGTGTCTAGCAATGTATGAGCCTGGCAAGAGACGTGTCTAGTAATGTATGACCCTTGCAAGAGACACAGACAGTCATCAACACACAAAGGAAGTATCAATCTCACTAGATTGAATCCTAAGGTTAGAGATCTGAGATCACATATTGATGGGCGTGAAGCCTAAGTACTGTAAAAATATGGTTAATATTAGCCTGTGTCACGACAGAAATGGTATCTGGTATGGGCGAATCATGAAGATGGTAGAAGAAGCAATCCTGGCATGCACTTATGTGTCCCAATGCAACAATCAGTTGCACCCAGGGTCAGCGTCGACTCAGCAACTCGAACAAGCAAAGGAAATTCTATGAAATTTGGAGTTCAACACCATAAATTCACATCAGTCACATGCTATTACCATGACTGAAATAACAAATCCGCCTGATCATACATGACAGCCAGTTCAGCAACACCAGAGAGACTGTGAATGAAAACTTCCTCCAATGCACTCAGGAGATGAGGAACCTTCTTGCTTATGACCTCAGCTTGCACCAGCTTTGGTCCCACACCGTGGAACTGCAGGATTCCAGCCTCCTCAATATGAGTATCTTTCTCAAGTCTTTGAAGTTTACTGATGGAAGAGGAAATGTCTTCGATATTGATCATATTGTTGGTGTGCCCCAGTAACGTGAGGCTGATGGTATCAAGGTAGTCATATATCACTACATCCAGGCCACCAAGAAAAGTAATAAGATGACTCTCGATACATGAGGTCGGTGAGATATATCTAGAACAAAATTCAACTAATTGTCTGTGGAAAACAAGAGAGAACACATTACCGTTGTCTCTTTTGGGGGCCATTTGGTAGCCCCATGTTTGCATCATTCTTGAGAGGATATTTGGAGGTTGATATCTCAGCATTGATGCCTTCCGAGTCACCATTGACCTGGTCTTGTGACCTGGTGCATGATATTGAACTCAAAAAAATAATTATTGAGAGCGTTCAACTTACCTGCATTTACGTCAATGATAACGCTCTTTGTTTTTGAGGCAGAACTCTTCATGGTTCCTGGAACAGTGGAACCACAGTAAGAGCAACATAATGAGATGATGTGCGTGGACTCGGACACTGTAGATATCACGTACCTTTGATAATAATTGAGTCTGTACACACGAGCGGCTTCTGCCTGCTCCTTGAGACTGTGATACAAATGAGGTTGCCCCATGAAGTTGTGTTAGGTTCTATGTGTGAGTTAAGTGAAACTTGGTCAATACCGTGACATGCACGCGAAGTTCATTTGGCATGCACACCAGGCAAATTAATGCAAGTTTTATGCACCAGTTACTATGAAATCCCTGCAACTAACTGCTTGCTGCTTGGTGTCATTCAGTCAAGTACTTCTTAGGTGCTTTAGCACTTTCCCTGAAGTATAATCATTTGTGTTCACTGACTATCACCTTCGCAAATATACAAAACTCAATATTAATACAAGTTTTATGTAGTGCCACATGCACACTTTCAACTACAAAATAGACAACTAACCATTCACTACTTTGTGCTTTTCTATCATAGAAGTACTTCAAAGCCCTTTGCCACCAATCATGTTTTAATAACAATGGACACTCGCCAAAAACACTCAGCTATCCTCAAGATCAGTGAGAAATTTCTCCTTGCATTCATGTTTCAGTCTGCTGCACACAACACACGCGATGATCATCATAAACACAACATCAAGAGAACTGTCAATGGATCAGTTCACAACGCAACACTAGATAGACACTGAGATACTAGAGACACTGACTAAATACAATACAAGATAGCCCAACCCATTTACACCTGCACAGCAGTGCCAGCATCAATCGCAGCTATGAGAGCCTCAATGCCCTGATCAATATTCTCCACACTACCAAAAATGGTGCGGCTCACACCCAAGACCTTGAGACCAACATTGCCCCTGCTGGAGAGCAGATAAGTCAAGGTCATTACCAAAACAAACTTGATTAAAGCATACCATCCCAAGAACACACTGATCTTATGGCCCCTTGTGACATAGTACAGAGGCTGTGCAGCATCACTGGACAATGGGACATTGAAGTATACGCACTTGTAAGCGTTGAGCATACAACCTTCTGCAATTGCATCATACACATCATCATCATCATCCACAACAGTCACAACAGAAGGAAGAGCAGTCACAACAGAAGCCATGGGAGCAGCTGCAGGAGGGATAGACGAGCTTGTGTTGGGAACAGCTGCCATGGTGAGGGATGAGCTTAGGTCAGACACGAACTTAGCATCTGCCAGCTCAGCATCATCGCTCAACGAAGAACAGGTTTGCAAATCAATGGCATGTGCAGCACAGGCTCCTCCACGAGGTTCTACATATGCACATTAGTAATCTTTGTAAGGGAAATGATTCTAAGGGAGCTTACCGGTGATATCAGAGAGAAGGTTAGTTGCTAGAACTGCACGATTATAATGCAGGTCATTGTGTAGGGTAGTTGAACAGATGAGAAAGTGATATATGAGTGATGTATGAGACGGACAGATAAACAAAAACTCGCCTTTTATCCCATCAAGGGCAAACTTCAATGCTTGTTCCCTGCATGGTCATTGGTGGACAAGAGGAGGATCCAACTTCGAAAATGTTGACTTCCATTGAGAATCTTGGTAATGGCAATGTGTTGGGTGGTTGAATAGGTGTGAAAAGCAATGCATGAGTGATGTATGAGACGAACAGATAGCCAAAAACTCACCGTCTATCCCGTCAAGGCCAGACTTCAATAGTTGCTCCAATAGTTGCTCCCTATGTGGTCATCAGTGAACCGGTGGAGGATCAAATTACATTGTAGGCCAGACTTCCCTCCATGGTTGTTGATATGGGTGGACTAGTGGATCAAATTTCGAAATTCAAAGTCTGAGAATCTTTGTTGATGGTTGTTTATCCATAACGGATCGAGCCATTTGCGCAAATGGTAAACCGGAATATTGCCCTTCCAGTTTGCATGGTACTGTGAATGCAAGCAACTCCAGTTCTATTCAAGGCTTTTGGGCATATTAGCGACTTCTTTGCTCATCGCCCATGTGTTAGGTGGGGTGAAAAATATGAATCCATACAATGTTTGTTTGATAACTGGCCTGTCATAGTGGGCTGACCAAGCAAGAAAGCCAAGTTCTCGCGCTATGTTGACGTGAATGAGACTTGTCCTGCACCTGAGTACGACCGTTTTCATTCCTATGGGATACAGCACGATGGCGACTTGTCTGTTGACACTACGTATATACTTTCTCAACCTACTGATGAAGTACCAATCATTCATCACCCCTCGTCTACTGTTTTACCGAGTATTGATGATTGGAATGAAGTCGAATATCAAGACCCTGAGCCTCAGGGACGGGAATCAGAACACATACCAAAGAAAAAAAGGACTGGTGCGGTATGTGTTTTGATACTTAGGATGATGAAGCGCTCACTCCAATATTTTGAAGGATAATCCTCTGTTACAATGGTTGCACGAATGCTCTGCTTTCTTGGACGAGATCATCCATCTTGAAGGCCGTGGTAATGAGGGGACACTTTTGAATTACCATTGTGGTACCAATAATGCAATCCATCTTTACTGTTGTAGAGATTGTTTTGGGGTCGAAATGGTCTGCCAGACATGTGTTATCTGCCGTCACTTAAGCAATCCACTTCACCATATAGATGTATGTATTCTTCATTGTTATTTTCCTTATTTGTTTATCGCAATCTTACTAGATGTGGAATGGCAAATTCTTTGAGAGTGTAACATTAAAAACTCTCGGATTGCGTGTGCAGCTGGGCCATATGCCTGGTGAGTGCTGCTACAATGCTCAGCCAGTGTCTTGCAATGAATTTACAGTAATTGATGCGCATGGCATCCATAATGTCACAGTAGACTTCTGCGGATGCGAAATGGCAGAGATCCGCTACAAGCAGCTTCTACGAGTTTGGTGGTTTCCAGCTACTACAACCGACCCTTGAATAGCGGCAACCTTCAGTATCCTGGAATTATTTCATTTGCTCTCCTTCAAATTGAAAGTATCTGCATACAAATTTTACCATAGTTTAGCAAGGCAGTCAGACAACACAGGAACCTCACCGATCAAGGTACAGTGACATGTGAAACTCCCTCCATTAAATTCGATTGATTTGCCCTTTTAGGATCGTTATTTGGAGTTCCTGTGAATGATGCAAGAATGGTGTCACATAACGCAACTTATGTGTGCTGATCATGGCCATGATCCCAACGGTATTTAAGCAACACCAGATGGGGGTGTGTTGTACCATGCCCAGCATGTCCACATCCAGGAATCAATATTCCTGATGGATGGGAGGATTCACCACCTGACATTAGGTAAGTAACACATCCTACATATGCTTGCCACAGTGCTGAGTTTTACAGGTGGCAGTATGCATTATTCCTTGCCATTGATGCTGACTTTCGGCTCAAGTGCAAGGCTATATCTAGTGATGATGGCAACCCAAGTCTTAATTCAGGATGGGCTTATTTCATTGAAGAGCATGCTTACAAGAAGTTTTTGTCTGAATGAAGCACAGAATGGCAAGAAGTACGTATCCTATTCGTCCTGTTTGGTAGCATGATCTGATGGTTTGGGGTAGAGAAGCACCTGTGTCAGTCACAACGTGGTGAATACTGCGGACACAAAGGCATCCCGAGGACTTGCAGTGATGGGTATTGGGTCTGTTGTCTGTGCGCACCACGAGATGAGGCTTCCCAATAGTGTAGGCAACCTCCAGAAGGGAGAAAAGTAGGAGGTCATATACTTTTTGAGACTCTATGATACTAACTACTAGACAGATATATAAACATGGATTACCTTGTCTTTTCAGTCCTTGTCAGCTTCGGCCTTGCTGTATTCAACTTGTCCTATGACATCGCCTGTCAGTGGCATAAGAGACTCTGGTCTTGCAATAGCACAATGCCACAGTGACTACAATTCAACCGTGAAAATAAGACAGTTCGCTTTTTTGTTCCCAAATTCCACCTCAAAGCCCATATCCAGTCTTGCCAAATGACATTCTCATTCAATTTCTCCAAATGGGTGGTCAGATGCACGGAGAGGCACCCAAACGTGGTTGGGCGGATATTTATTGGGTTGCAATGAGTACGAGGGAGATGGGGCCTGGTAACTGTCATGACACGCTACACACTCAATGATCACTTCAGTGATTGGAACTTGAAGAAGACAATGATGTTGGGTATGTTGATTCATTATCGTCTGTTGTATTTCATTGACATATTTTTAATAGGGCGTACTTTACTGCGCAAACTCAAGGAAGCTGCTGTGGCTGCTTGAGCCCATCATGAAGAACTCACTGAACTTGAAGATGCAATCAACACGTCAACATTAGCACTGTGGCATGCGGATGTAGAGGCATGGGAGGAAGACCATACCAAGTCAAACCCCTTCAAAAGTCAAGTCATTCATGCATCGGTTTCTTGGTTTCTATCCTTCAATACTGATGAACTGTTTGCCGTGGTTCTAGCAATGACTCAAGCTATGGTTTGCTTGGAATTTGCAGAACGTGAAAGACATGACCTGCAAGATGGAATTGACTTGTTCCTTCATGCTGAGATTTCACCCAGCGTGCTCATAGTAAATGGACTCGAACTTGAAGACCAGCAGTACGTCTTGGGAACTCATTTGTTTTTATTTGTTGCTAAATGATTTATTGCAGGTGGTGCCTATGTGCAGACAGGAAAACACCAAGCCAAAATCCTTCCGATAACCAAAAAGCCAAAATTCAAATGTGTTCAAATGCGCTGCAGTGCAAACTTGATGCCTAGGTTCAAGTTCAAACACTGTATATGCCTGCAGTCGCTTCCCTTCGCCTTTGCACCCAGCATGATGACAGCCCCCAAGACAAAATACCTGAGGACTTCATTCTTCTCCTTCCATCACAGCTCAATGCCACAACTCCCTGTGATCCCTTACTGCGCCAAATCGAGTGGCAGCTTAGATATGCCCAGGTTGATGATGCTCTAAACAATGTTTGTCAGAATATCCACCTGCACGCCCATCTCAATACCTTCAAAACTCTGCACATCTGTAGCCAGTGGGCAAGTACCCGTGCACGCAGTGCTCTTGACCTCGCAGAGGCAAAAAAAATGTGCCAGCCAACTCAAATATGAGGCTGCTCGTGTGGTGCTTGATAACCTTGGGGATCATCTAGGTATGGTAGGCTGGAGGGATATATTTCGGCCATTAAACGTGTCGGATATGAGACCTATGGTCTGCAGGGCAATAGGAGGGGAGATGCAACATCCTGTGGATATGGAAGGTGCCTAGTGTTTTGCACAATAATGATGCAGGTCTTCAAGATTGTAAGTTGCTCCTTGTGTGATCCTTGGCATTTGTCTCATTGTGACACTGTCAGGTTTACATATTGAATGGTGTAAGGCCAGAGCATGAGCATCCCAATGGTCCGAAGAGTTCTCTTTGCTTATTGAGGAGATGCAAAGAGTACTGGCATTTTTCCGCTGGGAAATGACTCAATGGAATGAATGGGGTACTGCATGGTCATTTACTAAGGATGCTGACCGCGAGGGGAGCGTTGCTTATGCACAGTGCCAAGTATCAGTTCAGGAGGGTCTGGTAATGTGTTTCTCAATGCTTTGGAGGGGTACTCTCTCCGCTGTGATCTCCGAGCTTGATCCGGTCCCTGAAATCAACAACAAAATGGCCGATGATCAAACACCATCATTGGAAGGTCCTCCTTTACAGGGTGATGATGAGTAATATTACATTATATTACTTGATGTGTAATCAACAATGGATCTGATGTGCCTTCTGATGTCTTCGAAGAAGTTAGCGAGTGCCTGTGTGATAAGAGGGAGGTTAATGGATAAAGGGCCCTAATGTATGACTCGAAGCACTGGGGGGAGAAGGGCTTTAATGTATGACCCGAAGTACTGGGGGGAGAAGGGCTTTAATGTATGACCCAAAGTACTGGGCCTTGTTATGATAATGATTCATGTATGAGACTTTTTGCTGTGCTACAGTATATAATGTATTACTACTACAAGAACAGGTGTCTATTGCTTCGTCCCATCTGCCTCGATGTTGTGGAGGTAACGGGTGATTCTGCCCCTCTCCGGGGGATTGGGAAGTTCGCAGGGTACTGGCGCAAAATTATATTGATTAGAGAGCAGCTGAGGGATAAAACGAGACTGATATTGAGGGTGAGACGGCCGCCCCACACGACCTTGTTGGGTCCGCTGTTGTTCTTGACCACCTGCTGGAGAGAGAGCACAAATCAGCATGATATGAAGACAGAAGGGAAACACATCGGATGCACCGGTTGCGCATTCCTAACGATGGGAATGGGCCTCTGCAGGTAAGGTCTAAATCAGTGTGATATCAAGAGAAACAACCAACATTTAACAATTCGCATGTGAGGCACATCGGTTTGCCTTTGAGCAACGAGCCTTGTTGGCCCTAAGCACACAGCGCGTAAATCGACGAAGCGGCAAAACAGGAAGAGCATACCTCTGGTACTGAAATAACTGCAGAATATGATTGCCATTATTCTGATATCAAGGGGGAATAAGGACAAGATGATGTCTTGGGATGAGAAGTGCTCGAAAGTTCGAGCGGCAAGAGAGGATTAGCGAGTGAGTTCGATGATGATGGGAGAACAATAATGGTGGCTTATATACGCGACCGAAAGGTACAAGCATAGTGAGGAGACGTGAAAGGTAAGGGCGTGAAGGCCTAAGCATGGTTGGAATAATGATAAGAGTGAGGGCGACAAGCATAAGACCAAGCGAAGACGATGTGAGGTAGAATGTGACAATAGAACAGAGATGTAGCTGCATACGAGAGTACCACAGCGATGCAGGTGGGAGCTTCTTTGCAAAACAGAACAGCAATGTGATTACATATGAGAGTGCTTCGACGATACAGGTGCAGAACTCCTCACAATAAGATAGCTGAGGCGTAATGGAGAGAGGGTGGAAATAATACTCACTTCCCTAATGCTCTCTTTCCACATGGCACAGAGTCAAGTTGTGTGAGTTGCGATAACAGCCGGAACATGGAGTAAATCGACTCGTCGAGCTCGACACCGTTGCCGGTACGCTACGTCTATAAGTACCCACTTCTGAACTTGAATATTAGACCACAGCTCACCGAAACAGATATAGTCGCCCGCCCAAACGACTGCGGGGAGTCCTCGAGTGCATGCTCCATGTTCTTCACGACTGTTTTTTACTGGACGGAAAATAAAACAAGTAAGGTAGGAATTCATAACCGTGCGGCTTTGGGACGTCGATACGCTGTAAGTTTGACCTGCGCAGATTTTTGGCTGGCTACTTACTGGGATATTGGGATGAGCAATGTACATGGATCGCAAGGTCTACCCGTCCCTTTTCGTCATCGTCCTTGCAATCATTCCTCAGACTTGTGTACAGTCATGTTGGCAGCACGATGTTTCCGCACGCCCACTGGAGTGGGGCACTATATGAGGATCAAGTAGTCGGACATGGCAAGTATGTAGAGTGCGACAGGCCCGGCAAGCCCGAAATCGGCCGTCCTGTAGAGGATTGTGAGATGTGAGTGCTTATGCGAGAATGTTTTGGAGAGAAACCTGCGAGCATTGATAACTGTAAACGATTGTCTTGGCAGCTCGAGCATGGTCAGCCATAGCAGTTGCAGCACAAATTTGCGGATAAAGCTTCGTAGTAAACGGCAATATCAATTAGGAAGACTGCATGCGACTGTCTTCAGAACTTGTTTAGCTGTAGTTTACGAGTCAGTGCATAGTAGCTTGATTGCACCATTGAAAGGGGCAGTCATAACCATTCGAAGTCGGAATGATGATGTTAGGTGCTCTAGCAAAGTTGTCGTTGTGGCAAATTCGCTACACGTCGGACAATCATCCGAGATGTGGGAAGGTGCGATGGCAGAAGAACGATAGCGATACAGGCCCAATTATCTCATACTACTCAGTGTCGTATTTATCCACTGCAATCTTAGATAGACTCGAGGCAAGAGCAGTAAATCGGTGATGATCTAATCTGTGGTGCAGATTCGGAAAGGAAGAAATTTGCGCACATGGAGAAGGCACTGCCGCTCTGCACGGAGAAGCGAGGAAGGGGAAGAGTCTTCTTCAGTAGCGCATAGACTCTCGGATAAGGATGGCGCTTGACAGCTTCCTGAAGTCCAGTAGGTGAGACATGCCCTGAGCTCATGGTGCAGAGCATATACCTGATTCGCGCGAGAAAAAGATGTTCAAGAATCCAAGCAGTACTAGTGCGTTCCTGCTTGATGATTGAGTCATTGAGGTATCGATATTGGTAAATGGTTGTCAACCGGGAGATGTTTGCAGAGATACGGGAACTGCGTGCTGAGATAATGTACGAGACACGTGCTAGAGAATACAACGAGTGGAGTTGGATGGACGTCTCCGAGTCTCAGAGATATTTCTTGCTGGCAATGGAGATAAGGGCGGGTGAAGAACGATAGAAATGCGGGCTCGCTTGATAACAGGACTACCACACGTGATTCTGAGATGTCAATATCAATGAAGAAGGTGGTTGTCAGACAACGTGACTCGTGCGCTTGATCGGCACAGCAAGCTGTGAAGCGAACATGAGGATAAAGCAAGGAAGACGCACATGTACAGGACTTGAACAGCAACCTCCATCTAGCTCTGGCGAGCATCAAACAATAAGTCCATTTCTTATCAGCTTTCATTCGTCCGGGGCACGTGTGTTCTGTGTAAAACCAAGTACCTCTGAGTGAGTGATGGCGTTCGTTTGGTGGACAAGAGCTGAAATTGTCCCGCTCCTATTAGATGAAGTTTCCGAACTAATATCATGTCTTCACGAGTCCCTGAAAAGCAAGAGAAATCAGCGACAAAGCCTCCCCAAAAGATGCAAGGACACACCAGCATCGTCTCTGGCGTCCTCCGGCTGCCCGATAACCGACGGATTATCACCTGTTCATGGGACGGCACACTTCGAGTCTGGGACTTGGAGAGCGGTATGCAGGTCGGGAAGGCCTGGATGGACGAAGGAAGTGGATATGTGATTGCCATAGCACTTTCGCCAGACGGCAAGACAGTAGCAAGTGGGAGTGAGGATGGTACAGTGAGATTGTGGGAAATTGACACAGGCAAGGTCATCAAAAGATTGACGGGGCACACGGAGCAAGTGCGGTATGTGTGCTGGAGTCCAGATGGAGGGCGAGTGGTGAGCGGGTGCGACGGTGGGACATTGAGAGTATGGGACGTCGAGAGTGCAAAGATGATCCTTGGACCAATCAAGGAAGGGAAAGATGGCTGGGTGGAGGCAGTTTGCTACTCACCCGATTATGGCGCTGGATCTGTTCAACTATTCTTCACATGCAAAACTCACACACGCACAGACGCCACACACACACAAACGAGACGCACACATAATCACTCCTTCGCATACACATTCTTGTATTGTAGGAAAATTAGTACTGCACTATGATCATTCATAAAATTCATTGATGCCCCAAGGTATCCAACTCTGCACGTGTCAACATTGGGCCAGGCTCCGTGATCAGAGCTGCCGACAACTGCTGAGCCGATCTTGAAACGCCTCGCAAGGCTGCCGTGAGGTTGAAAGAGTCTAGTGAGGCCTTACGAGACGAGTATGCGCACCTTGCATAATGACGAACAAATACATTCAAGCCTCGGAAGGCATCATGTGGCCGTGGGAGACTCTCCGGACCTTGCCGGACCTTGTTAGATTTGGGCACTTATTGCTGATGGCCCTTCTCATCGACACTTACATCAAGGATCCACCCAGCGCGAACATCTTTTTGACACCAATACTGGCAGCTTTCCGTCTTCTTTTCTCGCTCTCGTCCACCAGCCGAGGCTTTGCTGCCAATGCTGGCGGCTTCGGTGCGTTTTTTTTGCCCTTGGACTCTACTTGATTGGCGCTTATAGAACCCTTCATTAGCAGCCTTGTCTGCAATATAAATTGATCATCACTCCGAGACCTACTCACTTCTCATCACTCCGTCTCGTCCACCGGCCAGGCCTTAAAAAGATTCGAGGCTTTGCTGCCAATGCTGGCGACTCTCAGTGCGTTTCACTCCGAGACCTACTCACTTCTCATCGCTCCATCTCGTCTACCAGCCGGGCCTTAAAAAGATTTGTTTATAGAACCCTTCATCAGCAGCCTTGTCTGCAATATAAATTGATTATCGAATCATGTCAGATCTAATAGTGCAGTACTAATTTTTCTACGGTACGAGAGTGTGTATGCGACGGAGTGATTATGTGTGCGTCTCGTTTGTGTGTGTGTGGCGTCTGTGCGTGTGTGAGTTTTGCATGTGAAGAATAGTTGAACAGATCCAGCGCCATACCCGATGGTACGATGATTGCGACGGGCACGCACAAGCTGAAAGTCTGGGATGTTAACACAGGTCAATTGCTCAAAACACTCGACTTCCCAGTTCTCTGTCTGGCATGGACCTCAGACGGAAATACACTTATCGCCGTCACGCCACCCCATCAAATCAAGAAATTCGACACCGCCACCTGGACCGAAACCGCTGTTCTGGAGGGACACAAAAGTGCTAGTGATGTCTATGCTATTTCACTGTCTCCGAATGAACGCATCCTCACAAGCACATCATATGACAAGACAGCGCGACTATGGAACCTAGAAACCAATCAGTCAATCGGACAACCCTTCTACCATGAAAACTGGGTGAACTGTGCAACCTTTTCCGTGGATGGAAGGTCGCTCGTCACTGGCTGCGGCGACCACAACATATACAAATGGGATGTGTCTGCTATTATCAAGGAAGCTGGCCTTGATCACCTTCTATCAGACAATGTAAGCTTGTGTACATTTCATCCTCAATCATGCTGACAATCGGTCATCCTTTCAGGTGGTATATTGCATCAAGTCTCTTCAACAGCCTTTCTCACTCATCTTCATTCATTGCAGAAGACAGGCAATAAACCATTTAACATTAATGTATGCTATGTGTCTCTTGACCTTTTGCACGGCCTTGAATATCTACATACTAGGCTGATGCTACACGGCCACGACCTTCAAAAATTGAAGGCGCTCGTCCGAGTCGACGACCCCCGGGGTTTTTCGACGATGTACGTGATTTCCATCTGTAATCCAACATCTCCTTTGACCATTATCTTATTAGTTCTCTACCTCCCGAGGACGAAGTGTCACGACAACACCAAATCAACACACACTCCTCGGTCGCTTACCTTCCCTCTGGCGCCGGCGCTCCAATTTACGCGGAGCAACCGAACACGACACCCCGTCCAGATCCCACCCTCATAGCTGGGCTAAAAACATTATGTCCGGCAGACAACGCAGACAAGATGGATTGAACATCCAGTTGCGAGAGCTACCGGTAGTTGACGTCCCGTGCACGGTCGGCAAGCGTGTACGCTTTTTTCCACCTCTATTCTTCTTATCACTGACATGTTTTCACGCAGAGGGACTATCATGCAAGAGGGAAGAAAGCAGCCAGCTCCTCTCGGCCTTCCAAGATCCATGTCATGCAGAAACCTACTGGCGGAGCAACCCAGAGCACACCCCCATCATTGTCACCACAGCAAGCCACGACATCAGCTGCAATTCCTACAGTCTCCACTACCGCGGCAGCGACTGGAACCTCGGACCTTGATATCACCATACGCGGGGCTGGATGCTGGTCGCGATTCTGGCTCTGGATTGGTTGTATCTCTATCGAAAATAATCAACTATAGGGAGGAAACATCTTCGTGTACCATTATCATTTTCTATCATATCATCTATAGCTACCCATAGCTCTTCTACCCTCCATCATTGTATTGTATTCCCTACTTGTTCTGCTACGCTTGTCGTTCCTTTGTTATTCCCTTATGTCAGTTCAGCTTGGTTCTACTTTGTACTTGTACAAGCTGATCGCTTAGGCTCTTCTACAACTCTTCTACGATATATTCATTCTGACGAGCTTTTTCAGCGAAACGTCAATGCCCACTGCCCAAGCCATCACAGAATGTCGCTATCATTGTTCATGATTCTCGCAACCATGCCGCGCTTCAAAAAAACAAGCCACCCTGGAATGTCACTCAAGACAGACGGATTCCACGTGGATTCGATATCAGGATATCTGAAGTGTCTGCCGGTGGTCTGTAGACTGTTGGTACTCCGTGCCACGTGGAGATCTGAATCCGTAATCCTTTGTTGAAACGACGCAAAACTCGAGATAAGCTGATACACTATATGTTACAAAGCATCCTAGCTTCATCGCGCGAAACGCAGGACCCATGCATGAGATGATATGTATGACGTTACCCTCCGTGGTACTGGGAGCTGCACCTTCATTCTAGTTGCCAGCACGTGGGACGGACGGACGACCCAGTCCAAACGCACGAGTGACGAGTCGCTACTTACTACGTCCATGCAGGATTGGATAACCTGAGTCACTCTGGGGCAGGTGACTCATGGAATCCTCGACTCCCCACAGTCGCAGATGGTCGTAATGGAAAGGAGTGAATTTAAATCGAACTACCCTCTGACACGCTTCATGAGCGTGTTTTGCCTCGGTGGTGGAGTCGTTTGCGTGTAATTTCACCACCCGGCAGGGTGACCCCAAGATGTGCAGGATACTGGATACTGGCCAATCATATTGAGGAAAGTGTGGTTGAGAGCTGAGATGGGGCTTATCCCGAGTGGGCCAAGGCGATTGTCAACCCTTGGCGAATAATGTACTTATGTCTGAGTGTGATCCACTGGAGAAGAGCATAAGCTCGGAGTTCACAATGTATTTAATTAGAAATGAGGGGACATGATGTTCTGAATAGACATAAAAATGAATAGAGTCCGTGTCTGGTGGAAATTCGCAGGATACTGGCGAATCGATATCATAGTGAGAAGAGAGTCATTGAGAGATAAACAGGACTTACGTCGAGGATGGGACGGTCATCCAAAACGACCTCGTCCGAGGGTACATAAGCGGCCGCCTGCAGGGGAACACACACCGTTAGCACGAGATTGAAGACCAATGGGAAACAAGCAACAATCGCTGGCTGTGGCTTCTTGATGATATGAATCGACTTGTGCAGGTAAGGTCAGATCTAAATCAGCATGATATCCACGGACGGATGAAAAGAGAAGCAGTTGACATCCACCAATTCGCATGTAGGGCAAATTGGGAATTCGTTTTCTATCTGGCATGGATCTCAGATGAAAGAACCTTACTAGTCCCCGTTGAAGACAGCGCAACTATGGAACCTCGAAACTAATCAGGTCATCGGTCCACCCATTCACCATGCACTGCACATTTCCGAGTCGATATATCAGTCACCTACCGTTGCTCTTGTCAATGCAGCAACTATCTGACTGCGCAGTCGAATATATCAATGGTGAATATGTGGCGCTAGTGTATATGTGAATTAGTGGAGTACTCGGAGGAGCATTTTGTGAATTAGATTATACAATTTGAGTGATAACCCACAAAATAAATCGAAACCGTTGATGCCGCATATGTACATAACCTTCCTCGCTATTAGCTGGCACATGTCTCTGTATTGTAAGGAAAGTCGGCCTCAATGACCATCTGTAAGCTTACATCCCCAATAATAATACTGACAACAAATCTACGCATCCTTGCAGGTGGTACATATATCGCATCAGGTCTACCTTTACTCACTCATCTTTGTTTATTACAGAAGGCGCCCGACGCCTGATCTGCGACTCATCTTCCACCTCGTACTTTCCGCGTTTATGTTTGAGGTATGGATGTTCATAAGACTGCGAGAGTGTTGGAGTGTAATGTGACGCGGTATCCGAATGGTGCGTGTGTGCGTGGTGTTTTTTATGTTGTCTCCCTAATCCCTTTCCTCCTCTGTTCCTCTTCGCTCTCTTTCCCCCTCCTCCTCCCACACCAACAAGCGTCTACTTCCTCCAGCGCAGGCAGACTCGCCCTCATGTGCTCACAACCCACCAAAGAACTTGACTATTATCTGCGTGTTGCCCAGCCTCAGAGTCAGTATCTGAATTTGCACCGTATTTCGTGGTGGGAGAGTGCCGTGGCATGTTTGGGGCTTTAAAGGTGCGTTTTTCGTTTTGGTTTGTGAGGTGGGGTCTTTAGTGGTGATGGAGTTTTGGTATTGATAATCTTGTTGAGTTCGACTGAGTTCTTGTAAGACAGACCAAGTGCTTCGTGGACCTGATATAATGTTGGATGTGAGCTTCCATGTCAAAATGCTAAATAAATTTATTATACATACGCCTTCGGTTGCTGGGAGATTGGTGAATGCGGTCAATCCCAGACCTTGTACTTTTGCCTAGTGTGCAACTTCCCAGTCCATCTGCAAATTAAATGGAGCCCAGGGATTTTCTGTGCTTCCCTTCATAGCAGCTGAGTAATTCATGTACTTGGATCTCTTCAGTTGAGGTACAGTGGCTCAAAAAACTGTCCGCATGTTTTCACATTTTTCACTATCTATGATATTGTGTGAGAATGTACAAACACATCAAGGACATGCTGGTACCATATTGTAGTACTACTTCAGGGCTTCCAATTGAGCCCTATGGCGTGGGAATTGGTCGAGATATGGTGGAGATATGAGGCTTACAAAATGATGACTCATGCGGACAGTTTTTTGACTCAAGTATTTTACAGTGATAATCAGGTATTCTAGTACATTGTGTGACCTCCCTTGGCTTTAATTACTGCCTCTATCCTTCTAGGAATACTCTTAAAACTATATCTAACTATATAAACCAGAATGTCTCCTGTGTCATGGTCATAATTACCATGAAAGCCGTCTCCTCTACTCAAAGGGATAATATCTTCTCTTTGTCCTATGCTGGCCTCTCTGCTCATCAAATTTCCTCTAGAACTGAAGTATGCAAGTCTACTGCAGCCAAGTGTATCAAAGAAAGCCACCTGGACAAGGAAAACTCTTGTGGAGGACGTCCACCTCTGCTAATAAGGGGGCTATCATTCAACATATCACTACAGGAAAGGCTAATAATGCCCTCCAAGCCACCCATTATACCAATTCCACCATCACCACCACTGTCTCTTCACAAACTGTGAGGAATGTTCTCAAGGCAGCTCATCTCAAGGCAGTAACAAAGAAGAAATGCCTCTTATCTCTATTAAACATAGGCTGAAAAGACTACCTTTGGCTTGGCCCATCAAAACTGGACTGTAGAGGACTGGAAGCATGTTATATGTTCAGATGAGACCAAAATCAATAGGATTGGGTCAGATGGGAAGGTATATGTATGGAAAAAGAAGAGGGATTTTCTAACAGACAGAGAGGTTAGTGAGGCTGTCAGATTTGGAGGAGGTTCTCTAATGGTATGGGGCTGTATGAGATGGAATGGTGTGGGTATGCCCGCTGAAGTTGAGGGGAGGATGGATGCTGAGCAGTATGTGGACATTTTAAATGACCACTTGCTGCCTAGCATAGCTGACTCAGGGATTGATGAAGAAGACATCATTTTCCAACAGGATAATGATCCCAAGCACACATCTAGGAGAGCCAGACAATGGTTTAAAGAACATAATATCAATGTTCTTGACTGACCAGCACAGTCCCCTGATGTCAATGTCATTGAACATCTCTGGGGAATACTCAAGAAGATGCTTCAAGCCTATGAACCCCCCCCCCTAAAGGAGTATAGGAGCTATGGGAGAGAGTAGCAGTGGAATGGGCAAGGATTACAGCAGAATATTGCCAGAAATTGATTGAGAGTATGCCTAGAAGGATAGAGGCAGTAATTAAAGCCAAGGGAGGTCACACAATGTACTAGAATACCTGATTATCACTGTAAAATACTTGAGTCAAAAAACTGTCCGCATGAGTCATCATTTTGTAAGCCTCATATCTCCACCATATCTCGACCAATTCCCACGCCATAGGGCTCAATTGGAAGCCCTGAAGTAGTACTACAATATGGTACCAGCATGTCCTTGATGTGTTTGTACATTCTCACACAATATCATAGATAGTGAAAAATGTGAAAACATGCGGACAGTTTTTTGAGCCACTGTATATCATCCAACAGAGCCCCAGCTTCACCTCCAAAATATTCAATAGTGATCAGAGGAGAATCTGAAGTCAGTGATGCTGTGTCTTGTAGTGGCTCCCGATTGACACCTTCAATATCCTCATTGTCACTCTCCAGGACGTTCACATCTTCCTCTGCCACACTCGCATGATGGTGAACATCAACATGGACTGGTTATTCATCATTTATGAAGGGAAAATCTTCTTCTCCATAGTCATCACCGAAATAATCCCCACCAAATGGTTGAGGATCTGATATGACATCTGAGTCAGGTGTGGACCATGTGGACCTAGTATGGCCATGGGGTGCATTTTTGCATATGGGTCAATGCACCAAACTATTGAGGCTATCATGCTCATGTTGACAACATGGATTAGAGGACTTGTGGAGGTGTTGAAGATAGGATCCTCTTCAAGGGAAATATTCATGGCAGCCTGCACATTGAAACACCATAGTGGTTGCACTAAGAAATAGCATACAGAGGAAAAGGCTAACTGAAAAGGAAAAGGCTGAGGAAATGTTATGGCCAACAAGGTTCAACAAAACAAACCCTGGTCAGTTCTTGAACTTGCCAACTAGCCTGTTGCATTTTTGCCTTTCTTCTTGTAACACCCACGCCCACCTCCATCAACGTTCACTTGGACCCGCCCACCCCCACCTCTGTCAATGTTCACTTGAACCAATATGGCTGCATGAAAACAGCCAAAAACTTCTGCTGCACAGTTGAGGGAAACCCACAAGGCCAGAATGCAAGCCCAACTTAAAAATGTCTCTGTCGCAGATACAGCTGATAATATGGAGTTAGATGAGCCCAGTACAGGACGACATGAGGGCATATGATATATACCTTTTATGATTAACACTGATAAAAAATTTAACAGCAGCTCATGCAGCCAAAACTGCAGCACTAACAAGACCCAGTCAGTACCAATTTATACTAGTGGCAACAAGATATATACTCAGATGTTCCCAGATCGCCCTATGAAACACAAATGAGTTAGAAAAGAGCTAGCCAACATGATACAAGGACCAACCAGCACAGTACAAGCACCAGCATTGCCAAAGGGCAAGCGCAAACATGCTAATAGTGTGGTAGAAGGTCAGAGCTGGCCTATGAAGCTCTCATCGAGTCAGCTGATCATGAAGGTTATACTGGGGACAATGACATGGCTGAATGCCTTCTTAGTGACTCATGGGCTCAGTATGCCAAGCCGCTCATAGATTATGTGAGTTCTGTCAGTGTATAGTTGTATTTTTTTAGATTTATGACTGCACTTCAGACTACACACCGCATTCACCTCTGCCGCAATCAGTTTAAGAAGGTGGTTGGTGTAGTCATCACAAGTGTTCTCAATCTTGCAACAAATTCTGCAGCTCAGAACTCATCACTCTTAGAAGACATCAACTATATCTACTCTTGGTTGGCCAAGGTACAGGGTGCATGTGTGGCGTCTGCACAACCTCAAATAATTTATTTCTTTCAGAAAAACAAGTATGAAACCTCGAAGCCATTCCAGGCCGAAGTGATCAAAGAGGGCATTCGAGCCAGCTTCTTCGTTGCCAACCAATACAACAATCTCAGCATCAAATTTTCTTACCTACTTTCATCTTCACTCTCCACAGCTCCCGATGAGTTGGAGGTTGTCAACCACATGATAGCCAGTGTTGCTACTGCAGTTTGTAAAGTTCATTATTTGTTACTGCCTCGGCTGACGTGTACAATCTTAGGTTGAAGCTTGTATCCTGGACTTTAACATTGGAAAGAGCAACAAATTTGTTGGCCCAAGTCACGACAACACATTCAAAGCACACATGCTCCTCCTCACTATGAAGCAGAAGAAGCCACTTGAGTATCACAAGCTAACTCATGGCATCTATTGTGCTGTCATGTACGCATTTTTTGGATCTTTTGTTCCAATTCCCAACTAATCTCTTTCTGTTATAGTGGCATCTGCAGCGTTGGGTCTGCCCGACTTTCGAAAGAGCAAATTATTGCACAGGTTGACTGGGAAAACATGGGTGGCAAGTCTGATTAGGTTCATTTAATTCACCAGTTTCTTCCTATCTACTATTACTTCTACCAGTACCACTAATCTGTTCTTCATGTTCTAGTGGGATTTTTCCGCTACCTCTGATACACTCGTTGACTGGCCGCACATTTCTCTATGATCATTACCATATCATATATTGAGTCTGGATGACAATATAATGTTTTTTGTTTACATTGGTGTGATATTCAATGGTCGTGAATGGCGCAGCATGGATGCTACAAACATTTTGTGTTTTTTTGTGTTTTTTTTTGTGTTTTCCTCCACTTTACTGTGACGGTGTTGACAGGGGACTGCAGTTTACTATGTAAATGTCAGTAATGTGAGATATTGTGATAAAACCTGGTAAAACATAGTAATCCACACAATTTTTGTGTAATTCCCAGGTAATACACAGGGGAGGTTTTTCCTGATGCACACTACCACCCACCAAAAACCTATTGTAGAGCCCTAAAATGGTCAAGGTGTAGAATAGCCCTGAGAAATATTTATAATATGGTTTTGGCACTATCTCTGTGAAAGGTTTTGTTCAGAGCTGTGTGAGAGCTGGGAAACAGACCTATAGGCGGTATTGTGGCTGAAGAAAGAAATTACACTAAAATTTAAAATGTAACCTTGCTGATTCGAACTCAAGGGCTTGTTGTCAACCAACATGCACTATTCATGCGTGCAAACTGTTAGGCCATAGACACTTGTATTTGCTAGGTGTTAATTTATATATGACAACCAACACGTCATCTCATCACAAATTTCGCTAAGTCTTTGCACCAAGTCCTAATCAGTCTCTACTGTCTAGCAATTACTGTAGTGTGACATATACTTTGCACAAAGCAGTTCTTGTGAAATTTGAGTTCTATATGATGTATTTGCCTCCACTGTGCTTAGGTAAACAGAACTGAGTGTAATTTGTGTAGAATACAAATGCTGAAAGCTAGCAAGTCTCGAGTCCATCATGGAATTCTGGGACAGGATGTTCACATGAGCTTTTTCATAGGTATACCATAGGTTTGATACTTAGATCTATGGACGAGCCCTGGATCGGACCATATCTGAGCTATAACCAATCTGTTGCCCAGGTGGGAAAAATACCTTTGATAAACATCTGATCTATGAGCTTTACAGCATTATTTATTTATTTATGTACTAAATCTCTATTCCAGCTCATATCTGCCTGGTTGCCATGTATTACAAATGGTTTTCACACTATCTCTCTATGGCCCAAAGTGGCAGTTGGTGGTGTACACTGCCATATCCTCAGCTTTCTTTCATACAATGAAATTATACGCTGCACATCAGTGAGTCATATATTCATCCTGTCCATTGAGTTACGGCACTAATGCACTGGTATGCATCATTGCGGACTTGTCAAACAAGGTATAATAAGTACAGTCAGATCCTCTGTTGAGCTACAATATATCATTGAACTTGGCACCAAAAGGTCAATACAGGTTCATCTGCAGCCACCTACTATCTCCACGGTGGACTGCTTGTGTATCCTCTGAGACAAGGTGAACACGTGGAATTCTTTCAAACTTGATGCCACAAAAGTGAAAGCGCTTCGCTTTCCAAGCATGTTGGACTCCAACACCATCATACATCAACAACTTGGTATTTCTCATTCATCCATTGATACGGATGCTTGTTCCCATGCTGTGGATCTCAAATATACATGTCGGGTGCTTCTCGTGTCTTGTGGCATCATTCGGATCCAGTACTTCGCACATTCAGGTTCATGGATGACACACAAGACCTTATGATCACTGCTATATTCCCAACAAACATTGGATCATACAACTTCAAGTACAAAATACTGTTCTGCACAATATCAACGGGGAAAGAACATCTTTTAGCCCATAGATCTCGTGTAGTCACTGGACCTGCTTGCACTGAATCACATGAACTCGGCTGTTACTATTTCTGTCCTCAGAGATTGCATTGCAGTCTATGCAACTGAGCGCGACGAAAATGTGCCATACTGGTTGCTGTGTGTCTGGAATTGGCATAAGGGTAGTCAAACTGATGTAGGTGTTATGTTCCATATTTCATTCAAACGTCTGATGTGAGCACCCAGTTTAATCTGTCATCCACTCGTCTTCGGCAGGGAAAAATGGGTCAATGACCTCATGGTAAAGTTCCAGTGCAAGGAAATAGTCGAGAACCTGATCAATCATCAGGACACTGGCTGACCACCATCATCCCTTTGCTGCAGAATACTACAATAAATGCAACCTCTCCACGGTATTAGAACACTTGCAGCTACACACCTCGAACGTACTGACATTCATCAGCGTGAGACGGTAAGATGGAAACATAGCAACTTACCTCTCTTGTTTGTTGGGGGTGGTCGATGAGGACAATATCAATTCATTCAAGTTGAAGGACTTGGCAATCATGCCAGCTAGGGATTATCCAGTCCTTGTCAATGAACGAGATGAAGATGACCATATGCACAACAAAATTGGACTGAAATACGCACCCAAACAGCTATGATTAGATGGTATCGCAACTGGTTCGGGTGTGGTTAAGCAGTTTGTTGCTGTCCCCTATGAATCGGGTTATTTGATCGAGCATCAGGTAATTTTTTGACTCTTCGGATTTAGTGATGGCTGAGAGAGAATCAGATCACTGGGTCAGAAACAACTGGCGGTATCCAATTCGAGGTGATACCAATTTACAAAGCTTTGGTGCATTTTGGGAAGGGATATCTATCACACTCCTCGAGAGCTTGGACTCTCCGTCTGCTCTGAAATGACGATGACCAACCTCAAGGTGGCTCCGTCTAGGACTTCTGGGGCCATGGCGATTTATATCAAACTCCCAAGGGGAGAGACAATCACTGTCTGGTTAGACAGTTGTGATACTATAGGCAGTCTCATATCCCAGATGCCACACAATAACAGAATTGAATACTGCCTATGAAAGAATTAGTGGCCATTCCTTGACAGCCGCCGAACACTTTTGGACTACAATATTTGAGCTGAAATGACCCTCAGTCTAATGCATAACATAACAGGAAGATCAACAGGGCAAGAGATGCCAATGATGAATTTTGGCGCTGGCGGGACATCCAGTTTGTAGGAAAACAGCAACAAGGGTTGTAAGCATTGCCACCCCAATGGGCGCCCCTGGAATGGAGCCAGTTCCGAAGCTTCCGGTAGTGTTGTTGGAGAGGTATCAAGTGGATGATGGGAGAGAGAGGAATTCGTCAGTATTGTCCGTGATGGGGCGAAATGATGGAACTAACACCACTGAAACATAAATTTTACGACAAACTCTTATACTCACCTTATAAAATGTCTAACTCCTACAATTAGTAAAATCATGGCATGTCAGTCTGTAAACTCATAAAGAGGATTATACACTTAAGTCCCGTGGCCAATGACTGGGGTGATGAGGGTGATTTAGCTTCCCTTTCACTCATATTGAAACTAGCGACTTACTTCTGTGCAATATCATTTTGGCTGTAGATCCATAAAGCTACAACTTGACCATAGGCGTCTTCAATATGACACAATTATGGTATAATGTCCAAAAGTTATAACTCACCAGTAAGTGGCATCCTGCTGCAAATCTGTAATTCTGACTTCATATGTCATTTGTTGGAGCAGTGGATATCATATGGCGGCAGTTAGAAACACCTGGTCTATTCATGCAGAATTATTGATAATAGATACTACATTATAATCATAGTAACCATGGACCAGTAGTGAAACTTATTCCCTCTTGATATATGTCTGAAATTATGTTTGCTGTGGAGCATCTCTTGCACTTACTCCATTCTGATGCGTGATTTGCACTGTACCAATCTCAGGCAGTAATCACATCTATTTTATAAACAGTGACAACAGGGAGAGATACGGGAATAAGTAGGAAATATAGATGGAAGCCAGACAACAAAGATAGATGACACATGCACACCAGAACCATCGGCCAAGCATGAGAACCACTAACACTGTTACGCCGAAGTATAACACAGGCAAACAATAATCAATAAGACCAAAGGTCTGTTGATACATTCTAGACAAGTGTCTAAAGAACGTCCAGTTTCAAGTAAAGACTAAGCACTGAAGAGGTGACCTAGAATCAAGTCAGATGTTCAGAGGAAAACCAGCGTAGGTTAAGCTGAAGAATCAGCGTCACCTAGCCAGGGTTTATATAGTATACAGGGTATGGGTGTGATGTAATAATAGGTATGTATCAGTAAGCACATGCGTAAGCAATGAGGCGTCTGAGTAATACCGAACTAAATATAGCATGATAAGAGACATGCTTAGAAAGTGTGGATCAAGGGAAAAAGAAGTATGATAAGCACAGCCGTAACATCACCCCCTTCTTACGTGGAAAGTCCCAGACTTTCACTCAAGACCATGACGCCGATCGTCCTCAGTTCCTCCAAGCCCGTCAAGGGCCTCAAAGAAACCTCATTCCTCCATGAGGATCAATGTCAATTGTTGAAGCTTCTCTTTGATGTCTCAAATGCTGTAGTCGAGAGAGAATAGTTCTTCTCTGTACTCAGCATTATGCCTTTCCAAGGTATTCTCGAGACGACCTCCGAGACGGTAGAGGTCGTAGAGGGCATTGAGCGCTGGCTCAGTATCAATGGCGTCTTTGATGAGATTCTTGAAAAGTTTTGATGACAACATAATCCTACGACGGAGTCTACGATCTTCAAGATCGGACAAGTAGGGGTCAGTTGCTACTTTCCAAGGAGCTGCTCGTCGACGAGCTGCGACACGCTCACAGGTTCTGATAGTAGTGGGGCTGGCGGGAGTGTTGATGAATGTGGGGATCACTGGTTCATTAAATATTTGGTATGGGGATGTTTGTCCGGAATGTGGCAAGGGAGACGTCGGACGAGGGGGTTCAGGAGAATTTCTCTGACTGATAGTCATATAATGAGGATGTGGGGAGAAGACGGGAAATCTAAGGTTGGGAATAGGGACATTTGGGGTGCTGTTGTGCGTGATGACGAGGTTTATATCCTCGTC